CCGCTGCTCCAGCGCCGCAGAACGTGCCCCACCCAGCCCCGCCGTACACCCAAACCCCGCTCGTGCACGTCCCACACCCACCGTCGGCGGGGAACACCCTGGCACCCCAGCCGCCAGCACCGCCTGCTCAACCCGTGGCGCAGCGGACAGCTCAACCCGTGGCACAGCCGGCGGGCCAACCCGTGGCGCAACCGACGGCCCAACCCGTGGCGCAACCGATGGCGCAACCTGTGGCGCAGCCGCCAGCCCCAGGGCACACAGCCCCGCTCCCAGCCGCGCCAGCGACGCAGCCCGCGCAAGCCCCGGTGGCGCCGCCAGCTCCAGCGCCACCGGCTGTGCCGGTTGCAGACCCCATGGCGACGTCGGCCTCCTTCTCCTCGCAGCCGCAACACGTCCAAGCAGCGATTGCGCCGCCGTCGGCCCCGGCAACATCACACATGGGTAGCCCGGCCCCGCTGCCGCCCTCCCTGTCGCTTCCCTCCGGCGGTGCCGCCGCGAATACGCCCCCCGCCCCGCAGATCGCCCCGGAGGCCCTGCTCGGCATCCCGCTTGTGCCGGTCGTCGACCCCCGAAGCATGCAGTTCCAGCCGACTCTGCTTCCGCCGGCGCCGCAACAGCAGCAGCCTCTGCAGCAGAAGAGGAAGAGCGGAGGCTCGCCCATGTCGGGGCACGGCGTCAAGGCGCGCGTGATGTCGGCGCTTCCGTTCTTTAGGTCCTTGTCGGGCAAGTCCCAGCCCTTGCAGCAAGAAGAGGGGAGTGTCCCACCGCCGGCGAGTTCGGATTTTCCGCCGCAATCGTCCGTGCAGCAGCAGCAAGCTTACCAGGCGTCGCAACAGCCGCAAATGCATCCGCAGCCAGTGCCTCAGCAGCTCTATCCGACGGTACCACCTCAGGGACAGCCACCTGCTGTCCAAGGAGAAGCCCCTCAGATGCAACAGCAGCCAGTCGAGCAGATTCAGCCTCAAGTGCCCCCAGTCGTGCAACCTGCCAATGCTTCAATGGCCCAACCGGCTGTGGCTGTGCCAATGGTGCCGGTGGTGCCCCCCGGTGCGGATTCCAGTGTGTCTGACCTACCCTTGGCCTCCATTGAATCGCAGCCATCGGTTGATAGTCTAACACCGGCTGTAGATACACCTCAAGCAACAGCAGATGGTCAAGCTCAGAGCGAAATCCCGCAAGCTGATGAATCTGGCCTTGCTACGCCATCTACAATGCCGGTCACTACGAACAAGGACGTCTCGAATGAACCAGCAGTTGCTGGCCCTGAGACCCGAGTTGTGGTATCACCACAGCCAGCTGGAGCCAGCGATGTGCCACTGCCCATTCCCTCGGCAAGTATGAAATCAGAGGATGTGAATGGTGTTGATGTCTCAGATGCGTCCGGCGTCGTTCCCACTACGACGGAAATACGGCAACAGGTACCAACAGAAAACATCATCCCGGATGAAATCGTGGAACAGGCCCAAATGCCAGCGGTGGCGGAAGCTATAACCGAAGCAGACGCTGTTGCCTTGCCAGTTGTCACGGAGACGGAAAATGCACCTGTCATGAAGGAGTCCAACAGAGCCGTCGAACTATCGGCCATCGTCAAAGAAGTCGAGAGCACGAGTGAATCAGCTAAACCGGAAATCATTCCTGAACAGATTGCTGCCAATGAGCCTGTGATTGAAACTGAGCCTGCAGATGCGACTCTTTTAATCGCGTCGGTGGAAAATAAGTCAACTGTAAACGAGCCTGCAGATTCCGAGAAGCCATCGGAGACGGTCACCGCAGTTGAGAGCATCAGAGAGGGCGGCCACCTGGATTCAGTTCTTGAACAGAGTCCTGTTCATGAGACGAAGACTGAAGCGAGTACTGCAATCGAAGCTTCTCCAACAGCAGCGACAGCAGTGCCACCAGTCGTGAAAACAACAAATAATGCGATCGAGCCACCAGTCACATCAGATGCTGCTCAGAACGAGATCGGAGTGGAAAAACAGGATCGGGTTGCAGAAGACGGTGCAAATGAAATTCTTGGGGCTGAAACAGGGATACGTTCGGCAGATCCTCAGACGACAGAAATCGAAGAGCAGGTTCCTCAAGGGGGCATTGCGTTGCCGGAAGGAAATAGTACTACGATACCAACCGCAACAGAATCCCCATTGCCATCCGGCGTGGAGAGCCCTGACGGGGTGAAAAAGGCGAGTGTTTCTAGTATTTTAACCCGGACGGATGCGGAAACACAGGAAGGAATGTCATCTGCAGAAGTCATGACGGATGCGAAAACACAGGAAGGAATGTCATCTGCAGAAGTCATGACTGAGAAAGCATTGCAGTTAGATTCTCAAGCCACTCCTGACCCAAGTCCGACGTCTCAACCGTTGGAACCCGTTGAGATATCGCAAGGCGCGACTCAACTTTCGAAAGATGCCTTACGTTCGGACGTTGAAACGCAAGAACCACCAGCGGTAGAAGTATCAGAAGATCCGGGAAGCGCTCTGCGAGTCCCTGGAGGACAAGCAGTACATCAGGATAGCGGCACCACTGTTGAATCACTGCCGCAACCGGCAAGCTCCGAGCCCAAGGTGAAGGAGGAGAACACTGTTGGAGTTGAGTCTGCTGTGACAGTACGTTCTGCTCCAGTGAAGACGGAAATATCTCAAAATGCCGCGTCTCCGCAACAAGCAGGATCTTCACCGATTGTCAATGCACCTCTGCAGGGTACTAGTTTGCCAAACACGCAGAATGTTGATATCGAGAAACTGGTCTCAGACTCGGAGGCGAAAGTACCATCTGAACAGTTGCAGCCTACCGAGAGAACGCGAAGTAATCAGCCCAGTTCCCCGACTTTGCGGCGGTTAGCGGGTCCTGTTCACTCCCCAGTTCCGTCTCAAACGCCGATAATTGCACCGGCCGCTCCTGTGGTGCGTCGTCTGGCCGGCCCTGTCCATGCCGCCGTACCAGTTACACCTCCTATTCCAGTTCCTGTGCAGAAGCCTGAAATTCAGCCAGAAACAACGGCACCAGTGCAAAGCACGGGTGTAGCCCCAGTGCAAACACCAGTTGTGAATGGAGATACAGCTCCGCAATTTCCACGAGTCGCATCGACAGTATCCAACGCTGGTGCGTCTATTCGGTCGGGGTTTTCGGCAGTCAGTGAACGTCTCGTAAGGCTAACGTCCAAGAAGCAACAGAAGGATCCTATCCAGTCTCCACAAAACGTTCCTGAGGCATCTAGTGCACCGGCACCAGTTGCCGTTCCAAAGGCAGCCGAGGGATCGCAGGGAATTGGAGCGCCAGCTGCAGTTGGTGAAAGTCAAGCGGCTAGCGATGTTCCTTCCCCGTTAAGACGGACCAGTCTCTCAGCCGTGACGGAACGTTTAGGCAAGCTCAGGCATCGACGTGGACATGGCGAGTCGGTACATTCAGCTCAAGCTGCAGTGGTCATGCCTGTGGCACAGCCGCAAGCCGACCGAGATTTCGAAGCTGCGCAAGAAACGTTGGAACCTCAAGCCACTCCTTCCGTCCCACTTGCCCCGGCCGCACAAGCAGCGGAGAATGCTACATCTGCAACTGCTGAAGCGTCCGAGGCTGTTCCGCAAGGGGCACGTTCAGGATTGCTCACAGCTGCTTCGCTTCGTTCCAGCTTTACAAGCGTGAGCGGACGTTTATCAAAGCTGAAGCTCAAGAAAGCGGGGACGCAAGCTTCCAAACCAGCAGAAAAGCAGAACGGAGCGCCATCCGTACCAGCCTCTGCGCCCCAAACCGACGAACATGTGGGACCTGTTCCTACTGGTGGAGCGCCAACACCAGTGGTTGCTCCGACGGCACCTTATGCTCCCACACCGCAAGTTGCCCCAGCCCCGCGAGTTGCTCCGACCTCATCTGCTGTTCCCACACCGCAAGTTGTTCCAACCCCGCAGGTGGCTCCCACCTCACAGGTTGCTCCGGCCCCAACGGTCGCTCCAACGCCGCAGACAGTTCCGATGCCGCCGCTTATCCCAATACCACAAGTTGCTACTGGAACGCCCGCTACGCCCCAAGTACGTCAAGATGATTCCTGGATCTCTGGACAGGGTCAAGCTAGTACAGGTGATAATCCTGTGTCTCCGCGGTTGGCACTTGCTGCGATAGGCAGTCGGTTTGCGAAGTTGAAGCACAAGATAACAGCACACGAGCCCCACCGCGCCTCTGATGACACAACGCCACATGTGTGAGCGGGTGCTGAGAGCGGGTGCTGAAGACGACCACGCATGAGGTGGACGTTTTGGAATCATGCAGTTAAATAGAATGAATTGCGGCTTGAAGTAGATTTCCCTCGTTTACGTCAGGAAGGTGATAGAGGTACATCACTTTTCGGGATGTTCCATACAGAAGATGTCATCACAATCTCTATTAGAGAATGACCAAATTCTTGTAAAGCTGTTTCAGGATTATTGCAAGATATCGCCCCATCATCTCTCTCGCAAACAGGCACTACGAGTAAACATATGCCATGTGTACCAGAGGCAGTGGCTGTGCGTGTAGGCATCCTGGACCAATTGATGGTCTCGAATTTCCCATATTGGGCATCCCTCTCGAGATCCTCCACCTCTTGTCTCATTGGCTTGAAACAATGTCTGCATCGCTGTTACATCACACGTGTTACATCACACGTGTACATTACTTTCCCGTGGCTGATTACGGATGCTGATTACAGATGCTGTCCACAGATTTCGGACTACCTTGACCTTCAATGGCTTTTGGCTTTACAAACTCCGTCGCGAGTCCCCTCTCTGCTCTTGAACAAAAGCACAAGCGAGAAGAAGAGAATATTGCAGTGTACAAAAATCAATCTTTACCTTGTCGACAGGCCATGTCGTCCTCCTCTCAATTCATTAATCGCCTGCAGCAAACACCGTCGGATATCCTCATAAGTCGCGATCAAAAGAGACGCCCCGTCCCTCGAGCTAAGCAGCACCTGCTCAGGTGACCCGACATCCAGCCTGGACAAGCACTCCACCACGTGCGCCATATCCACCACGGCATGCCCATGCCCGTCCACGCGATGGAACACGTAATCCCGAAACAGCTTGAGCAAGTACCGATCCCCCGTCTCCGACCACTGCGGATCCACCCCGGCGTCCCCTCGCTCGTTCACAAACCCGAGCAATGCTATCAGCCGAAACATCCGGCTGGAATCAAACTCGGCAAACAGCTTCTTCTCCATCACGTCGCAATGCGTCCACACGTGCCCGACCTCCACCGCCATACGCGCCCCAACCAACGTCAGCACCTGCCCCGTGTTCACCTGCGCCCCGGGCCGCGACGCCCCCACTAGCGTCCCGACCAGCCCCACAAACTCCTCCGAATAGGGGCACACGCGCCGGATCGCGTCCACCACCATGTCATCCGCGCACATCATCACCCCGGACCGCACAAGTTTGCCATCAATCCGCAGCGCCAGCGTCGCCAAAATCAACCCCAGGTTGCTAAGATCCTCCTTCTGTAGCACGACGGCCCGGTCATGACTCGAGTGTCGTGCGGCCCCGCCCGCCCCGGGCACATGGTCCGCCCCTAGCGGATCGAATGCATCCCTCAGCCCCACGCGGCTGACCCTGACCCTATTCCTGCCCGTCATCAAGACGGTGGTCGTAGATAGCGCCTCCCTCAACGCCAGCCACCTTCCATGCACGGTGGCCATCGCCGACAAAACCTGGCACGCGATCGCCCACAGCGTGCTCTCCGCGACCGGATGGAAGCGATGGTCCGGCGGCATACCCCCCAGAAGCACGTTGTGCAATGTATCGGCCCTGCTCGAAAACTCGTACGCAAACACCACCTCGTTGGACGGCACGACGCCGCTCCCCGCGCTCCCCGCGGCCGCTGTGGCGCCGAACTGCCGCGTCGTGAAGACCTCCTGCAGCGCCAGCAGGGCGGGGTGTTCGACGCCATTCCACGCCTGGCTGGCCCGTTGTATCTGCACCGACGGCGCCTGCGCCGCGCCCACGACCCTGACGAGCGCGGTGGCGGTGCCTCTTGCGGCGGAGACACCCTTGTACGTGAGGGTGGGCGGCCCGCCCAAGCGGCCGAACGCAGGGCGCGGCCCGGGCTCCAGCGGGACGATGGCGTAGTAGGCACCGACAAGCTCCGGCACGGCGAGCGCGGGGTGCGCGCGACCGAGCAGGACGGCGACTTCGGCGCGCGCGGACTCGCGCAGGCCGTT